AAACACACAAATGAATGATACAATTACAACAAGACAATTAATAACACAAGAAGAAGAAGAACATACAGATTCTCATTCTTCTAGTAACAATGATAATAACAATCAACATTATGATAATATAAATAATACTAATAATATAACAACATCATCTACAATAATATTAGATAATGATGATGATGATACAATAGATAATAATACTAATACTAATTTAATAACATCATCATCAACATCAACAAGTAATAATCCAATTATTATTAGAAAAGTTAAAAAAGTACTTTCTGTTATTCATAATAATTCATCACTACCATCATCATCATCTTTAAATAATAATTTAAATAATTCACGTTTATCTGCTAGTTTTCCATCTAATTTACCAAGTTATTTAAATTTAAATCAAAAAGAAGAAGAAGAAGAAGAAGAATATTCATCACCACCATCTTCTTCATCTACAAATATAGGAAATGAAGCAGTAGATAACAAGATAATACAGGAACATAAAAAAATAGTTAAAAAAAGATCAAATGCAATTTTAAAAATTGAAAATTTATCACCACAATCTCCAATTACGGAAATTAAAAATAATGAATTTAATACTCATAGACAAACTATTAGTGATAATAATTTACAACAAACAAGAAATACAATTATTAATATAAATAATAATAATATAAATAGTAATAATTTAAATAATAATAATTTTAATAATTTTAAAAAAAATGAAAATATAATTAAATATGATTTAAAAGGAATTTATTTAAAAAACGTAAAAATGGAATTGGATATCAAAAAACCAAAGTTAAAATTAAAAGAAGTAAATTATATTATAGAAATGATTCAAATTCCAAATATAATATAATAGATATAAATAGTATAACAAGTATAAAAAGATTACAAAATGAAAATAATGATTTAAAATTTAGATTTGAAATTAAAACTATAAATGGTGAAATTAGTGAATGGAGTTGTTCATCTCAAGATGAATTAGATTTATGGTTACGTACTTTAATTAATATATATAGTAATATTGATTTAAATAATAATTTATTAGAATTATTTAATAATTTATTTATTTCTTTACATGGAAATGATCATGCTTTTTTAAAAAATATTTTAAATCATTTAATTGAATTTAAATTAAATAATTTAAATAATAATTTAAATAATAATTCAAATATTATAAATCAACAACAATTTAAAGATGAATTAAAATATCAATTAAATACAATTTTAAATGAAATTATACTTCCAAATAATAATAATCAATTAAATCAATTATCTGGTTATGAATCTGATGATCAAATAAATGAACGATAAAATTGATTAATAATTTATTTAATAATAATTTAAACTTTTGAAATATTCTTCTTCATCAACAACAATTTAAAACACATTATGATTTAATAATTTAAATTGTTTTTTTTTATTTATAATTATAAATATTAAAATATTTAATTTTGTAATTCTAATTTCTTTGTAATCCAAGAATCTAAATCTTCTTCTTTAACTTGTTCTTTAATACAATCATCTAACAAATCTGGAACTGAAAAATTAATATTTGATAAAGTTAATTTTACAGCTAATAAAGCATGATGATAATATTTATGTAAAATAATTGTTTCATTTTCTTTTTGTGATTTTAATTCTTCTTCTAATTGTAAAATTCTATTTTCATATTCAGAATTCTTTTCACTTGTTGTTTTTAATTGTTGATTTAAATGATTAATTTTTTGTAATGAATTTAATTCTTCTCTTTCTAAATTTTGAATTTTTTCTAAATGTTTTTTAATAGTTTCATTTAATTCATTTGAATTTTCATTTTTTTCTTTTAATTCAGATTTTTTAATTTCAATTTCATTTTTTAAATTATTAATATTATTATTTAAATTTTCAATATTATTATTTAAATTATTAATTATTAAATCTTTAGAATTATTTTCATTTAATTGATCTTGTAATTTAATTTCTAATAATTTAATATTTTCCAATTCATTTAAATTTTCTTCATCTTTTTGTTTTAATTGAGCATTTAATTGTTCAATTTCATATTTATGAGTTTCAACAAGTGAATTAATCTTATTTTCATATAAATCTAATTGTTTTTTTAAAGATTCTTGATGATCAATTTGTAATTTTTTAATTTCAATTTCATATTGTAATTCTAATTCTTCTCTTACTACTTTAACACGATCAGTTAAATCTTCTTTTAATTTTTCAATTTCTTCTGTTATAATTTCTTCTTCACTTTTTTGATTTGTTTTTTCTTCTTCTTCTTCAATTGTTGTTGTTGTTGTACTACTTGTTGGAATGTTATTATCAATAGTAGTAGTATTAGTATTAGTAGTAGTAATAGAATCAGATGTTTCAACAGTGTTAGTTGTTGGTATTCCTTCAGTAACAATGGCTGTTGTTGTAGATGATGAATTTACTTCTTCAGGTTGTTGAATTTTATCAGAGGCTTCTTCTTCTTCTTGTTGTTCAGTGGTAGAAGTTATTGTGGAGGCTTCATCAATTGTAGATTCTTGAGTTGTTGTTGATACTGTTTGTTCCTCTTCCATTGTTGTTGATGATGTAACAGTTTCTTCAATACTATTATCCTCACTGACTTCACTCACTGGTGAAACTGGTGTTGTTGCCGAAGAGGCTGAATTCTTATTCTTATTATTATTCTTCTTTTTAGCCATTTTGTGTTATCTATTCATATTGATTGTATAAATAATAGGATATCTTTAAAAAACACATACATGGATATGGTAGTAATTAAAAAACTGTCACGTGTAACAGAGCAGGTGATGTTTAGATTTTTTTTTAATCAAACTCCTACACAAGATTTTGGCGGGAAAGTTTATCTTTAAGAGGAGTGTAGACTATGATTGAATTGAGGAGATGATTTCTTTATGATTACTATTATGAGAGATGAGAATATATAATTTTTACATGAATACATGAGGAGATTTGATTTCATGAAGTTTTGTACTCTATTGATGTTGATAGTTATTATTATAACAGAGAGAATCTTTGCCCCATTCAATTTCTATTTGATTTCTACAATGAAAATCTGTTAACACTACAAGGAATATAGGTTAATATAAATATTTTGAGAAGTTTGGTTAATTATTGTTTTTAATAACAATGTGGAACATTCCATGTATCCTTAATGGAATCAAAACATGCAAGATATCGCCCCTTATCAAAAATTTTTGTAATATTCCATCAACGACTATCGTATGGTTGATAAAAAGATTCTTTAATTTTCACACCTTTTGTTATTATCATCATTTAGGAAAGATATTGCATGTACCATTGATATTGTTCCTAAATGATCTTGTAAACGGAAGGTCATATTGTTGATGTTTGAAATGATAACAACAAATAAGCTTTCCATTTCTCGCTTACTTGTGAGTTTCAGCGCTGTTGTGAGGAGTTGTTGCTGTGTGACCTCCTTTGTGAATTAGAAAAAAAATGAAACCAGCCTCAAAGATTATTGGCGTGTTTTTAGCGCTTGTGGTTTTGTTGCAAATTTATAGTGTTGTTGAAGGTAAACTCACCACTTTTACTTTTGAAAAACAATCATTGAATCATCAATGGATTTGGTTGGATTCATTTGTTTTTGATAACATGGGTATGAAGGAACCAGGTTATATTACTTGGCAATTGTAAGTATATTTAAACTCACAAATATGTTTACTATTAATATTATTTCATCATTTAACCTTCCGCTCTGCTGTATTCGAATTTATATGTTAATTATTATCGTCATCATCATCATCCGATTATAAATCTCGGTTCATCAAAAAATCTAATTCCTTTTGATCAAACACTTACCACCGACCATAATTCTTTTTACTATCATCACCATAACAATAATAATAATAACAATTGAATAGAAATAATATTAAGAAACAAGATCCAACTGCTCTTAAAAATCTCTATGTTTCGTTATATGATGATGAATCTGGTTATTGGCCAGCCTTGCAAAATTATATTAATTCAAACAATGGAAAGGTTAATTGCACACATCTGAGAAAGTTTGCTAAACAAACATTCCCACTTGATACTTATCCTGAATTTAGTATTTTGATTGATGAATCAGCTAGTATTCACACATGGTATATGGCTTTGGATGCTTGTGAAAGAGAAGTTACAGATTCTGGTCCAGAATATATTGAATTGGATTTCAAATGGACTAATCCAGGTGGTTTCTTTACTAAGCAATTCTCTAAGGATAGACAAGGTATTCTTGAAGTTCATATTGCTTTTGTTCCATTTTATACAATTATGGTATTTGCTTATATTATTTCAATTGTTCAATTGATTAGACACAAATCATTCCATTTAATTATTAGAGTTTTTTATTCAAGTTTAGTTGTTTATTGGTTGGGTAGAGTTGTTGAAATGATTCACTTGTTTGTTTATGGAGCTGATGGTGTTGGTATTCCATTCTTTGATGATTTGGCAGTTGGTCTTAAATTATTAGGTGACTTTTTAATGTTAGTCTTGTTATATTTACTTGCTTCTGGTTGGACTATTACTACTTCATATATTCGTTACTTTAAACAAACTGTTGGTGTTTGGATTTTCTTTGGTGTTTTCTATATTGCTTTATATGCTTGGGCTCAAATTGAATTAATATTTGTTGTTAATACTGAAGATTATATTTATGATACTATTCCAGGTATTATTATTAGTGTTATGAGAATTCCTGCTATGGCTTTCTTTATCTTTGTTTTATTCAAGACTCATCAAGAAGAAACTAACAAATTGAAGAAGGTATTCTATAAGGTTATTGGTTTATTATATAGTTTATGGTTCATTAGTTTACCACTCATTGTTTCAATTTCATTTGCTATTCCAGTTTCACATAGAGCTAAATGGATTGAAGGTTTATCTCTTTCAATTGACTTGATTTCATATCTTGTCATGTTCATTGCTTTGTGGTATCAATTGGCAAGAAAGTACTTCCAATTATCTACAGTCGATCCAACAAGTAGTACTACTGGTAGTGCCTATGAATCTTTGTAAATTTTTACAATTTTTGTTTATTAAAATGATTTTCTTATTTGCTCATCGTCGTACTTAGAATTGTTCGAATTGTGTTAACGAGATAAATCAAATATAAAAATTAAATTCAAAATAAAAAAATGAATGAAAGCAAAAAGAAAGGACCCAACAATGATAATATTAATTTAAATTTTAATCAACTGATAGAAGATTCTGCCGATGCAAAATCACCACTCATTATTAATATAATGGAAGGAGTTAATAACAAGAATAATAATGAGGAAATATTTGATCAATCACCAAATAATGTTATTATTACTGATGATTCTCCATCAGTTACAACTATTGATACTAATTCATCTTCTTCTTCATCATCATCATTAATGGATAGTGATTCACCACTCATTGATTCACCAACAATTTCCGATGATTCACCTAAAACAAAGCCTAAAAATATAAATCTATCATTATCATCAGTAGCCTCATCATCTTCATCTACTTCATCATCCTCTTCATCCTCTTCATCCTCTTCATCATCACCAACAACAACAACACATTCACAAACAATAACAGTGATTAGTAGTAATAATACAACATTACAATCATCATCACCAAGTAGTCAAACCTATGAAGCTATAGAAAGAATGGCTTCACAAAGGAATCAAAGAAAGGCTGATAGACGTGCACAAAAAAACAAAGGTAATCAACAACGTGTTGAACCTATTCAATCTGAATTATTAGAAAATGATTGGTTATTATCAGGTTATGCTGAAAAACAAGGAAGAAGATCAACAATGGAAGATGCACTTGTATGTGAATTAACATTTAGACAACATGATTATGCTCAATTAGATAACAAGTGATGGACATGTTGGTTCAAATACTTCTAAATATGTTTCTGAACATTTACATGTTTTATTTAAGGAAAAATTAAATATTTATGAACAATTTTTAGATATTAAGAAATTATTACAAGATTTAGATGTTAATATGAATAATTCTAATATGAATCATTCTCATAATATGTATAATTCTAATAATTCTCATAAGAATGGATATAATGATTCATATGATTTAAGTTCAATATTAAATAATATAAATATAGAAAGTTATTATGGATTATTAAATGAAAAAGAAAGAGAAGAAATATATACAATGAGATATTCAGAATTGATTGAATTAGCTATTGAAAAGAGTAATTTATTATTATGTAAATTGAGAGAACATTTAAAATATAAAGAAAGAGAACAAAAAACAACAGAAGAATCAATTGATGAAATTTGTTTACATTCACTTTCAAAACGTGAAGTAATTCCACTTTTAATACGTGAAACATTTTTAGAAATTAATGAAAATGTATGTAAAGGAAATGATAGAGATGGAAGTACAGCCTCAATTATATATATACCATATATAGATGAAAAAATAGCCTATATTGGTAATGTAGGTGATTCTAGAATTGTATTATGTAGAAGTGGTGAACCTATTAGATTAACAGTTGATCATAGACCAAGTGAAATTGATGAACGTAGAAGAGTTAAAGATGCAGGTGGTACTATATATGGTAATCGTGTTAATGCATGTTTAGCAATTACGAGAGCAATTGGTGATAAATCACTTCATCCCTATATTATATCAGATGCAAGTACAATGGTTATGGATTTTATGTTTGATAGAGATGAATTTATTGTTGTAGCTTGTGATGGTTTATGGGATTATGTTAGTGAGGAGGAAGTTGTAACAAGTGTCAGATATGAAAATGATCCTGTTCAAGCCTCTATTACTTTACGTGAATTAGCCTATGATAAGGGTAGTACTGATAATATTTCGGTTATTGTTATACGTTTTAAACCATCTATTTTACAAGAATATCTTTAATTATAATGGAAATATATGGTAAACAAGTTAATATATATATAGTAGTAGTAGTATATATTTGTAAAATGATAATAAAATAGTATGAATTAATTAATCAATCAATCGATAGAATATGAATGAATTACAAATTGAATGTTTGATTGTTGTGCCACTAGTTGTTGTTGTAGTATTATTAAGGTTCAAGTTTGTTGTATGAAATGGAAAAATTTGATTGTTGATGAAAATAATATTAAAAAAAATTCGGAACATCATATCATCTTTGACTCTAAAGATAATTTATACAATCATCATACTTCATCACTGATTAAATTATTATAGTATTAAAATACAATCATCACCATCGTTATCATATCATTCATACCATCATTACCATCATCATCATTAATAATATATAATTATCATAATCTTTTAAAATGTTTTCCATAACAAGTCTTTCAATATTTACATTTTCATCATTTATTTTAATATATTTAACATTATTTTTATATCTTTTAATAGGAAATACAAAAATATTAATGAAAGAATATTTATTCATGATTTTACACTTTTTTACAAGTTTATTTTTTACTTTGGGAATTTATTTTACAAAACCATTACCAATGAATTTAAAATTATTACCAAGTTTGGATAAAATACTTGTTAGACAATTTCATCTTGAAAGTTTTATTTATTTTATAATTTCAATTTTAATTTTATTATTTTATATTTTTTATTTTAATAAGAAATTTATTTTAAATTTATTTATTGGTTTATTTACTTTAATTAGTTATTTATATGTTTATAATTTATTATTTTTAACTGTTTATAATAATAATATATTTGTAAAATTATCTTTATTACCAAATTTAATTTTAATAATTTTTTATTATTTTAAAAATATTTTAGAATTATTTAAAAAAAATAAATAATTTGTTCTATAATTGTTTTTCATGATGAAATTATTATTGAACTATTTTAACATGTGTGTAAATGTGTTTATATTTGTTATTTCAATATGTAAGGGTTGTGGATATAATTGGTTAGAGCAATGAAATTATATTCTAAAATTGGTATTTGTAGTGGATTTAGTAGATCATAATATTTATATTTAATATTGTTAAATTACAATTTCAATAACCAATAAACTAAATTAGTAATAACCTTCTTCTCACTAAGGACAACAACCACTTGACCAAATATTGGAACTCATCCTATGAGAGCTAGGAGTAGGAGAATTTCACATAGGAAAGATGTTTTTTAAATTATGGAGCTTATTTGAATTGATTTCTTTGAAAAAGTTGTGAAGTGATTCATTTGGTTTTAATTGCTTGCGAGTGAGTGGAATGTTTTACAAGCGATTGTAAGCTACCCTATGTGCCAATTTCAGTACAACAATTTAAATACATCATTCCCGGATATTAGTATCATAAATAGAAAAATAGATGAATAGAACTGTAATTTTCCAACTTGTGAGAAATTATATCAAAATTGATACTAAGTATCAATTAAAAACCTTGTTTTCCACCTTTATAAATAGGGAAATTAGTAACTCAACTCTCTTTGACTTTCACAATGTTACTTGTTGGTGAGCTTGAATTGTGAATGTCTTATTGTGATTTTACATTTCTTCAATTGTAATTTTAATATTGAATGCAATTATTTGAAACAGTCATTATTTCTTTTAACAAATTCCATATATTAAGTCTAATATTGTAAGAAAAATGTAGAAAGTTTGATTTTTATTGAACATATCANAAACTACTAATCCATTTAGGTG